CATACGACTGTCAGCTGATTTCTCAACAGAAACGTTGCAGGCCAGAAGGGAGTGGCAAGAAATATTCAAAGTGATGAAAAGCAAGAACCTACAACCAAGATTACTCTACCTAGCAAAGCTTTCATTTAGAATTCAAAGTCAGATAAAGAGCTTCTCAGACAAGGACAAGCTAAAGGAGTTTATCACCACCAGACCAGTACTACATGAAATGTTGAAGGGTCTTCTTTAAGAAGAAGCTAATGAACAAAAAATCTCACAAACTAAATGGTTCCAGAGACATTGACACATGCAACAGATGGTCATATTTCAGAGGGAAGAGGGAAGGGGGGTGGAGGGTGGGGGGAGATTAACCAAAGAAGCTATATGCCTATGTGCATAACCCATGGACACGAACAATGATGGGGTGAATGCCTGGGGAGTGGGTGGGAACGAGGTGGAAGGGTTCAATTGGGGGGAAAAATGGGACACCTGTAGTGCTTTCAACAATAAAGATAAATTTAAAAAAAAGGAATGGAACTGCTGATCTTTCACTGCACAGGTCAATGCTCAACCAACTGAGCCACACCAGCCAGGGCTTTTTTTGCATCACCTTGTTGAAAATGCAAGGCCTTACTTTCCATCTATTGATTTAGATTTGCATTTTAACAAGATATCTGTCCATGTGATTACTTTGCACATGAAAGTCTGAGAACTTGTTAACCTTTATTGGACGAAAGGGAACTTTAGTTCCCGGCAAGGAGTGGGTCCCTCTGGCCGAATAAAAAAATAACTTTAATAATAAACAATACATTTTCTTTATAAATGTTTTTACTTTTCATAAATAACTCAAAAAATAGATAAGATAGAGGCAAAAAAGTAAATGCCTGCAGAGCTGAATTTAAATGCCCAAAAAAGCTCCAGCCGGGGGACCCCACTACGGGAATTTAAATGCAGTCTTTTAAAGGTAAATATCTTGTCACATTTTTTGTCTGTTTTAAAATGTAGATTTTATTATGAATCAAGTACCTTGAAGTCAACAGATCAGGAGATAATGATAGTTTGTTACTCACAGTTCCCAAGAGGGGGGAGCATACCATGCCACGCAGGGAAGCACCAGGGTCAATCAGGAGGCACAGGGAGTGAGGGGGAAATGTGGGCAAGAACTTTTATTGTGGTTTCCCTGGGAAAGGCAAGGCAAGGCAGGATAAGCCGTATTAGGATTGGCTAGTTTGAATTGTTTCAGTGGACACCATGGGCAGGGGTGGGGAACCTTTTTTTCTGCCAAGGGCCATTTGGATATTTATAACATCATCTGTGGGTGACACAATATTATCAACTTAAAAATTAGCTATGAAAAAAGCTCCTAGCTTTATTGAATTTTGAGTCCCACCTGCGGTTGCCTCAGCAGAGCCAGACCAAATGATTTCAAGGGCGTAATAAGGCCAGAGGGCCGGACATTCCCCACCCCTGGATAGAGAGTATAGGTACAGAAGCTGTCTATAGTTCCTGGTATCTTGTCCCCGGTGATCAGGGCAGGAGAGTAGTGACCTGGACTGAAAGAGCCCAATAAAGGAGGTGGCGGGGATACGGGTTCTGTATTGATTAGTGTGCATATGAATGTTCAAAGGTGAACCCTTTACTATCTATCTCTAGGATTGGCTAGCTCTGGGAGGGGCAGTCCCTTCAGGTTCAGCAAACATGTCAAAGCATCAGAAAAACAAAAAATAAAAAAGCATGATTGATACATTATTACATAGAGTGAAAGTCTATCATAATGTAATAAGCAGAATCCAAAAGCTTCATCGTGGAAAATATGGAGGTGCAGTTATTGCAGGGATAATGGAAGGACTGAGTGAGCCTGCTTAGCCCCTCGAGTTTCCAGGGGTCTGGCTGAGCAGATGAAATCCACGCAGGTGCTGGCTGTCGATGGCTACTACCTGGAGGCAGCTGTCCACTTTGGTTTATTTCTTTGTGAGTGAAGAGTATTCTGATTTCTGTGACTGGCAGGGCAATCCAGGGGTGCGGCGGTAATTCCAGAAATAGCCCCAGGAGTTTAGCATCTGATTCAACACCGGAATTTGGGCACAGAGAACACTTCAGGCAGAGGACCTGCCCTCATTTAGCTGCTTCCTGCTTCCTCATCTCCCCCACTTCAAGCCCGCCAGCCGCCCTCGCCAGAAGGTAAGAGCCAAGAAGCGTTTGTGCCACTTCTGCTTAAACATGGGGAAGAATAAAATGCCAGGTGGGTTATGTCAGAGTTAAGGAGGTTGGGGAACTCAAGGGACACATGGTGCCG